GGAAAAAGCAAGTAGTGTCCAGGGATGAGGGCAGAGAAGGCATGTGCACACTGCACCCCGGGCCGCACCTGAGGCATCGCGGTCATCCGGCAGGTCCGGCTCTCGCTCCCGCTCCACAGGCAGCAGCAGGGCGCACACAAGGCCCTGGTTGGGCTGGGCATACAGGCCAATGAGCTCGCCCAGGGTCTGGAAGCGGCGCACAGGCACACCCTGTGAGGTCTGCGGGCCAGCAGGGGTGGGAGGAGGGTCAGCCAGCTGGTCCCAAGCCACAGGCTGGAATCAAGGTCGGAGGTGAGGGTCCAAGCTCCTACCTGCACAGCCAGGAAGTCGTCTCCATCAGGTAGAATTCGATATGTGTGCACGTGCTTCTGATACCTGACAGCAAGGCAGTGGGTCAGAACCTGTCACCCCCAGGCTGCGATCTAAGCCCCAAGGCACCCCTCCTCCTGCCCCAGCCCCTTCACTTTGGTTTCCCTAAATCCATTTGCCCAGGCTGCACAGGGTTAATGACAGGGCCAGTCTACTTCTTTCCTGCCGGTGTCACCAACCAGAGCAGGAATGAGCAGACCCCTCTCACCCTCCACCCAGTCCTACATAGCCTCCGCATCCGCCACAGGGCCCGGGAAGCAACAGGCCGTTCTTTTGTGGCCTCCACAGCTGTCTAAACAGCCTCGCTGGGCTGTGGTACCAGTTTGGGTCCCTGCCAGAGTGAGAGTCCTCAGAAGCCTGGGTAACCTGTGTGTGTGCGCATAGGCTGCGTCCTAACACACGTGTGTGCCTGCTGTCCGTGTTCACGTTGGTGGCCGGCTCTGCTGGAGTCAGGTGTGTGAGGGGCAGTTTCGCTGGGGAGGGTAGGGGTACCACCCAAGGGCTCTCTCCTCCCTTCCCCAGACACCAGAAAATTGAGATGACCTGAGGGGGCCTCCTATGGGACACCCACGCCTCTTGGAGCCCCAAGCTGAGGAGGGGCAAGAGGGGTGTTGACAGATGGCAGCAACAGCTGAGCAGGTGACAGCTGAGCCAGGCTTGGCTGGCAAAGGCCACACTCAGGGGTGGAGGACGCCCTCTGCAGCCGCACCTCAGGGTAGGCCCAAGGGAGTCACTGGGCCCATGTGTGTGTGTTGGGCAGGAGCGGGGTGTTGGCACCAGAGGACCAAATGCCTATTTGAAGAGACCCTATACCTTGGCCACAGAGCCATCCCCTCCCCTCATGTAGGCCCCCTTTGGGGGTTCTCCTGGCTACCAACTGGGCACAAGTCATATGGGTGTGTGTGTGTGACTGGGTGTGTTTGTGGACTGTGAGTCTGTGTTTATAAGAATAATAACCTCCCATTAACTGATCCCTGTCTCTGTGACAGGCCAGGTACTCAGCATCCTACAGACGTAATCTCATTTAACCCTCACAGTTTGAGGCAGATATTATGCCCATTCTCCAAAAGAGGAAACTGAGGCTCAAAGAAGAAAAGTGATTTGCCTAAGGTCATGGAGCAAGAGGCAGAGCTGGAATTTAAAGCCAGGGCAGAGGCCAGGGCCTGTATCCTGACCTGCTGGTTGGATTGCCTGCGCCTGTTGGGCAGGGGTGTGTCCTAAATGTTTCCTGTGCACATGTGGGTGTGTTTTCAGGTAAGCAAGTAGGTTTCTGATCCCCCACCCCCAGGCCCCTGAGATGCAGGGAGCAGCGACAGTCAGCTGGTAAAGCTGAAGCCCCTACACACAGACAGACCCTCACCCCACCCAGCCCCTCCCTGGCAATGGAGCCAGGATTTTTCCCTCTTAGGACAATAATGTCCTCACCCAGACACAGGCCCAGCTGTCCCCCTCCCACTCAACAGCTGACCCAGCACCTGCCTCCCTCCCCTCCCTCATTAGGGGGTATGCCTCAGAGGGTGCTGGGAGGCAGGACTCTAGGATATTCATCTGCCTAGACTGTCCCCTCTCTAGTCGCCTTTTCTGGGCCTCAGATGTGGGGCATAAGCTGAGACTTAGAGAGCCCCTTCCTTTCCAGGTCCACTGCCTAGGCCGGGGTTTCTCAACCTCAGCACCACTGACATTTTGGACCACATAATTCTTTGTCGTGAGGGACTGTCCTGTGCATTGTAAGATGTTTAGCAGCATCCCTGGCTTCCACCCAGTAGCCAGTAAGCCAGATGCCAGTAGCACCATCCCAGTTGTGACAACCAAAAATGTCTCCAGACGTTGCCAAATGTCCCCTGAGGGGTAAAATCAACCACAATTGAGAAACACTGGCCGAGGCCAATGTACCCCCAAAGATGTGAGGAGAATCGAGGGCAAAGGGACAGGGATGGAGATGTGAGGGTTCACCCCGCTAAAGAGGTACACAGCTAGACCTAAAGAAAGCAGCCCCTGCTACTTCCCACACACTATCTCCCACTCTGGCGGCCTGCAGGAGCCCACCCAGTGCTGGACCTTAGGGCTCTGGGGACAGCTCAGGGAGAAGACTCCAAAACTGAAAGTGCAACTCACCCAACCCCACACACGGCTGATGGGTACAGGCACAGGACTAGGCCCACTCAGAGCTGTCAAGTCTAGCCCCATACTCAGCACCCAAGGCTCAAGGCAAGGGCAGCCGGGATACCCAGGGCTCAGCGCAGAACCAGGGTGCACAGTGCACTCACTGATTCATGAAATAATAACATGGCCCCATACAGCCTCACTCCCTTCTTCTCAACACCACCCTGCCCCCCAGCCCCGGCCATATACAGCCAGGCGGGCCCCAACCTCAGTCCTGAAGGCACAGAAAAGCCCCCTAAGGAAGCTGCTGGGCATCCTCACACACCCCCATCGGGCCCTCTGGCCCCAATGCCCACTTAGAAACCCAATCGCTATATAAACAGAACTGGACACAGCCGTGGAATGTACATCCTCATCCCTCTGGCCCCTTCTCCCTGGAGGGTGGCTGAGGGGGTCTGCCAGAGACTCCCTGCATTTTTCCCCATCACAGATACCCTGGGCGGCAGGACCCCACATACTCTGCCCTCAAAGCCCCAGAAAGTGCCCCGAGGCACACAGCAAGAAGGAAGTACCCCCACCATCCTTCCTCAGCTCCAGCATAAGGCCAAGGCCCCCACTCTGGGGGGCGCTGGCGTCCCACTGTTCCAGGCCCTCCCCATACACTCAAGGAACCCCGGGCCGTGTCCCTGCCCGCCGGGAGCCCCAGCCCCACTCACAAGACGCAGAGCGCGAAGGCTCCCGCCACGCTCTCGCTGTCTCGGACCAGGAAGCTGCCATCGCGGCCTGCCCGGGCCAGCAGCTCCTCTGCGGCAGCGCGGCTCAGGTCGCGGTGGTACCAGGCGGGGGCTGGGCTGCCCAGGGCGCCCCCCGGCCCGGCGACCCCCGGGACCAGTGCCCCGCACGCCGAAGCCATGGCCCGCGCAGGGCTCAGCGCCGCCCGTGCCCACTGCCCCGCGCCATCCGCCCCGGGACGCTCGGGGCTGAGGCTGGGGCCGGGGCCGGGCCCGAGCCCGGGTTGCGGGCCTGAGGATCCACGGGCCGGACGGAGCCGGGGATCGGCGCTCCTCGCTCCGCCGCGCAAGCCGCCTCGTTCGCCGCGCAGCCGCCGCCGCCTGCAGTGCCGGCCTCAACTTGAAGAGAAAGAAAAGTTTGTTCAGAGGCGGCGGGGGAGGGGCAGGAGCAGAGCGCAGAGCAGGCGGCCGGCCCCTTCCCCCTCCGCTCGGCCCACGGCCGGGACCGCCTCTGCCCCAACCCCTTCCCCGTGGGGATGATGTCCTCCGCATTGCCGAAGGGCCCGGGACCTTCCAAACTCCAGGATTAACCGGCCTCCAAAACCCCACAGTGATCCTGCCCCGCCATCACCACCTCGAGGTGATCCAGCCCCCAACCTCCACCCCCGCCCCCTATCGAAGGCCAAATCTCTCCATCCTGCGCCCCGGGACTTCGGGATCCCGTCCCCCTCCCGGGAGAATTTACCCCCTTCAACACTCGCAACGATGAACCCCCCCCCAAACTCCCATAAATGTCTGATTCCACCAGAAATCCTTTCCACTTGGCCCCCCTAAAGCCTGGCAAGGATCGAGTTCCTCAAATCCACGAAGGATCCCATGATGAACCCCCCCCCCCCCCCCCCGAATTCCTCTCCTCATCATCCAAGCGACCCGGACCTCCAACTCCCGTGAAATCCAGTTGCCTCTTAGACCTGAACCCCCAAACTCCACTGGGTCCAGCCCCCGACAAATGCCACGGGGGTATCCCCTCCACAGAGATTGGATTCCCCCACAAACCCCCAGACGAGGTCCAGTGCCCTCGAACCCCCACGCACTGTCCCTGGCAGCCCCTCGGAGCCCGGGCAGAGCCCTTCCCCCTCTCGGCCAAGTTCCCTGGCACCATCCCCCATACTCGTAGGCCAGGGCCTTGAGGGGTTCAGCAATCCGAGACCAAGCCTCCCCTTGCCCATCTAGAAGAAAGTTCCCTCAAACCCTCGGGCCCCCGATCTCTCCCCAGAGCCGCGGCCGCTGCGCGCAGACCCCCACCTCCTGGGCTGCTCCGGTGCCCCCTTCCCCCGGGAAGCAGCCCTGAACTCTCAGCGGCCACTTAAGATGGCCATCCTCTGCCGCCGCACCCCCCTCGCCTTCCGCCCCGCCCGCCGCTCCGCCCCCGCGGCTCTCCGTGGAGCCGGGGGTTGCACCCGCGCCTCGCCTCACCCGGCCCCCCGCCTCGATCCCGGACCGGCCGACCGGCCGAGAGACCTCGGACAAGTCACCGCACCTCTCCGAGCCTCGCCTTCCCGCTCCAGAAAATGGGGATAATGTTATGTGCTTAAGCACAATGGGACTGTGCTTGTAAAGCTCTCGGCACAGGGCCTGGCATCCAGTAGGCGCTCCTGAACGGCGGCTATTTTTGTTATTAATTAAGGAGTAACGAAGGTGACAGCTGTGTAAACTGTAAAGCGCGGCGGCGGAACGAACCGGTATTATTAGCACCCGCCCCCGCCCCAGCTACTCCCTCCAGGTCAACAAACTTGAGCCTTTGTGGGCGGGACGCCGAGCCCGGAGCCCCCTGGATCGGGCGCGCGCCGAGGAGCAGGACTGGACCGCCGGGAAGGGGGCGGGGCCCAGAGAGGGGTCCAGCCCGCCCCTTCCCAAAAAAAGACCTAGCCGGTGGCGGCGTCTCCTGGGAGTCCGCTTCCTGCCCCGCCCCTCCGCCCCCCTGGCTCCTTAAAGGCGCAGGCCTCCAGCCCTACTCCCACTGCTGCCAACTGCTGGGCTGCTGTTGGAGGATCTCCTTTAATCTGGGAGGGAACTTTCACTTCGCTGAATTGAACCTGTGTCTGGGTCAGTCCTGGCGAGCTTCTTCCTCTATTTCAAACATGCATTGGCTTAACTCAGCTGAAGCAAAGCCTAGGATGTGGAGAGGGCTCTGTGGGGCCTTCCAGACTAGATAAATATAATGACTAAGAGCCCCTTCCACACACCCAACAGTGTCTCCAGGTCCCTGCAGAAACCGCATAACTCGTCCTCCAGTCTGCACCTGACTTCCCCCATCAGTCTCCTCTTGGTGTGAGGAAAGGTGAGTGTGGCATGAATGGGCACTGCGGTGCCACGAGGAGAGACCTGGACTAGGAGTCTTCACACCTGGGTTCTAGTCCTGGAAAGATGACCCACGCACTTGGTGTTCCTTCCCGAACGTGGAGACAAAGACTCACCCAGGGGAAGTGGAGAAGCAGGAGACCCAGAGGTCAACTCAGGCCCAGCTCCTGGGGGCTGTGCGAAGACGGAACAACCCTCCAGGATAGGCACATCTACCAGTGCCAGGAGGGGACAAAGGTGCCAGAGGAGAGGCTGGGCTCCTGCCCCTGGGAAGCCCATAGAAGTTCCCACCCCTCTTCCAGCTGCATCTCCAACACAGCAGTGCTGGACCAGTTCAAGGCTCTTGAGTACTTCCTTTCCAGGAACCTCCCAGACTGCTCTCCCTAATTGGCTCTCTTCCTCCTCTGAGGGTCCGGAGCCCCAACTCTGCCCCTTCAATCCACATGGTGTGTGAATTTTTTTCGCTCCCCGCCCCCTGCCCCGGCAATCCAGAGCCTTCCCTGGACTCCCATCCCCAGGTTCTCCACTGCAGAGCTGAGCCCAGAGCCAGGCAGACAAGGCTGGGGGTAGGGGAGGTACAGTAGAAATAATGAAGCCCTGGACCTGGCTCATCTGGGGCTACCAGAGCAGCAGAATCCCTGAGCACTATTATGTGCAGGCACTGGGCTCACACACTTTCTAGGCAACAGCTCCTTTATATTTCACAACCCTGAGGGAAGGAAGGATTATTGTCCCCATTTGATTAAGGAGGAAACTAAGGTTTGGGCAGTCAAGCAACTATTTCACTTTCACACACACAGTAGCAGAGCTGAGACTGAAATCAAGATCTCATTTCTCTAATGTGAAGGAATCCAAAAGCTATGGAATCTGTCCTCTACCCACCCACAAACTCACAACCAAAATAATTCATCAGACGTGGTTGTGTTGTTCTTTTTATTGGAACTGGCTGTCAGAGAACCCCCGAACCCCGCCATGGAGCAGGAACTGGATGACAGAGGGATGGGTAGTGGATGAAGGCATGCTTAGGAGCTGAGCTGAGCCTAGCCTGGTCATCAAAGCTGGGGACAGGCAGAGGGGATGTCTGTGGAGGGCTGGGCTCAGCCAAGGAGCCAGAGCTGCGGCATCAGGGCCAGGCTGAGCAGGAGAGGCCCCATCCCATGGGACATGGCCCCAGCAGTCATGGCCAAGGCATAGAACCTCGCCACCTCCTCGTTGGGGTTGCCCTGGGCCGGGTCGAACCACATCTGGATGCAGCGGCCACTCCCTCGGCGGTAGTTGCTGACCTTGTAGGAGTGACTCCAGAGTTCCTCACACAGGGCAGCAGGCGTGGGGAAGTAGGACTCAAATGTGCGGCAGGTGGCCTCAGCTGGACACTTGTTAGACCCTGCAGGGGGACAGAGGGTGGGTGCAGACATTCAGCCCCTGGGCCCAAAGCTCATTTCTGGCCACTCCCAGAAATCCACACCCAACCCCAAATCCTCAAACGCCCCCCCTCCCTGTTTTCCAAACCCCGCCTCCATCTCCCCACCGCCAAACCCCCACCTGAGGTCCAGTCCCAGCCCTTGTGCCAGTTGCTCTTGCAAGTGTAGGAGGTGCGGCAGGCCTCCCACCAGCTCTCACAGTCCTCTTTGCACAGGGGCACGTCCAGGAAACGCTCTTTGCGCCAGCTCTGGTCCACCTGGATGGGAGGTGGGGAGGGAGGGCTCCTCTCAGCCAGGGATGTTGGCATGTGCAGCCTTAACTGAGCTGGAAGGCAGCCTGCTGGGCTGGGGTGAGGGAGACACGCGTACCTGCTGGATCCAGGGCCCCAGGTTGGGGGAGCACTCATAGAGGCAGGTGTCCTGGATGAAGTGGCGCTTGCAGGCGGGCTCCATCTTGCCGCAGTGGTCCCAGTTAAAGTTGTACAGGAGGGAGGTGTCCTTGTGCAGCTCCCGGCTGGTGTTGACCGAGCAGCAGGCGTTCTTTTTCCAGGGACTGCACTGGGAGGGCAAGACGCAGGACTAGGTCCTCCCCCACCACAGCCTTCTGCCACCTCTAGCCTCCCCCCATTTGGTTCTTGCTCTCCTGCCCAAGGTAGGTTGTCCTAGGAACACTTGCTGTGAGCACCCCTCTGTCCTTGGCCTCCAGGAACTCCTGTCTGGGGAGAGACTCAATTACCACAGTGTGAACAGAGGGTTGTGGGAGCCTAGGAGGAAACCCTGTCTTGGGGGAACAGTAGCCATCATTTATTCAGCCCTTAGCATTTTATAAAAATTTCTTTAATTTGTTTATTCATTAAAAAAATAATTATTGAGTACCAATTCTATGTCAATCACTGTCCTAGATGCTGAGATTACAGCAGAGAACAAAACAGACAGAAATATGTGTTCATGGGACTTACATTCTGATCAGGAGAGACAGACAGTAAGAAACTAAAAGAGAAAAAATATGGTGTGTCAGGACATGATCAGCTATATGGAAAAAATTACAGCCAGGAATGGGAATGTGGAGTATGGGATGATGGTTGACATTTTAAATAGGGTGGTTGTGAAAAGCCTCACTGGAAGGTGACATTTTGAGCAAAAGAGAAAAGAAACAAGCTATGCAATACTGCATGTTGAAGAGCTTTATTCTCAGCAGTTATTAGGATCTGTGTCCCCAGTACTGGGTCAGTGCCAGACACATAGCAGGCCCACAAAAATGTTTGCTGAGAAAAGTAAATGAGGGGCTGGCCCCGTGGCCAAGTGGTTAAGTTTGTGCACTCCGCTTCAGGGGCCAAGGGTTTCATGGTTCCAATCTTGGGCGTGGACATGGCACCGCTCATCAGGTCATGCTGAGGCGGCATCCCACATGCCACAATTAGAAGGACCCACAACAAAAATATACAACTATGTACTGGGGGGGCTTTGGAGAGAAAAAGAAGGAAAAAAAAGTAAATGAAAGACCTACTTAATGATTTCCTAAAGCTAAATCAAACTCCATCTTACCAATAGACATACCAAATTTTAGCAAGTTTTTAATATAGAATGGGTTTTCCAAGACTGCAAATACCATGAAAAGGAGGATAGTACTAAGTTTTTTGTTTTGTTTTATTGGAGTTCTTCACTATTTTAGAAAATTCTATCCTCCATGGCAACACTGCTTAGAGTATCTTATAGCATTTAAATTGTCAGTCGATTACACCTGTATCCATCGTCATTTGTGGCTGCCCCATTCATAGTGATTTTGTGAATAAAGCAAACATGCTATTTCCTAATGATTTCTAATGTGGTCATACCAGAGAACTGACATGTTGAAATGTATATGATTTTATTATAAATTACTTTCTTTTTGCTTCTCCTTTGTATTACAGATAGAGAGTTATGTTGATGTTTTTAAATTAAATGCACATATAGGTTCTATTAGCTTTGAATTTCATTCCAGGATAGAAAAGAGAGTCTGAACAATATTTTCATGAAAAGGAGACATTCAGTCTATGAGGGTTGCAACCAACTGGCGTACCTTTTTACAGAATGTATGAATGGACAGCTCCCACACCCTGTATCACAGTCAGAAGGGCCTTCTCCTCTTCTGCCCTCGGCCCTCCATGGGACTGCACAGAGTGAAGGCAGGAAGAGCGATCCTCCCCCACGGTCTCTCACCTTCCAAACCCCTGGAGGACCCACCCAGTCCTACCCCTTCCCCACCACAAGGGGTGGTCATGTCCCATTCCTCTGTGTCCATGTGCTTCTCTGGGCCTCAGTTTCCTCAACTGTGTCATGTGGAGGAGAGTATCATCTACCTACATCAAAGGACCACTGGAAATACGAAATCGCATACAGAAAACACATGACACCTAGTAGCTGCTCAGGAAATGATTGTTCCATGTTATTGGTGACCTGGTATCCTTTTCTGAGGAGGCCACGTCTAAAATCACCTCCACCACTCCCCCCCACCTTCATCTTCTCCCACAGCAATAAGGATTGGGGGTGTCTGACCCTTCAACTCTTCCCTCACTGCCCTGACTTCCTCTTCCCTGTCAGAACCGGCCCCCAACTGGAACCCCGTTCCATCCTCACCTGGTCGTGCAGCTTGTCCTCAGGGCCCGGCTTTGCCTTGTGGTGCTTGGCGTCCATGCAGACGTTGAGCAGGTCTGTCCTGTCCCGGGCGCTGGATGTGGAGGCTGTCCAGGCCAGAAGCAGCAGAAGTGGTATCAATTTCCAGGCCATGTCTTTCTGTCCCTGCAGAGGGAGCTGTGGTTAGGGACACCAAGGCCTGAGGAAAGAGAGCTCCATGCAGGGTAACTGCTTCACCCCCTGCCTCAGTCTCCCCATCTCCTCAGTGAAGGATGGGGCAGACCCTCTTCCTTCTCTGCTGGGGTCCTGAGGCTCCCTGAGGCCGAGGCAGAGAAAGTTGGCAAAGGGGGCTCCCTCACCCCAGGCTTGGAGGGCTCAGAAGGGATCTGGGGTTAGTAGATGGGCGCTGGGGGAGTCTTCCCAAGTCGGAGGAGATGCCTGTGCTCTCACCTTTTCTCTGGACTTGGCTTAAGATCTCCCTGTTTCTGGACTTTACCTGAGAAAAGTAATGAAATAGTTCACGTCGATGCCCGGCTCCCCGGAAAAGGGCCAGAGATACACAGTGCCCTCATCCTTGTCCAGCAAGTGCTCTGCCATTACATCCCGGATCCCCTGGGCTCCCATGCCAGCTTAGAACCCCTGTTAACCTGGGGAAGGCAGTGACCCAGCTCCGCTGAGTTCTCCAGAGCAGCGTGAGAATCAAGTGACAGAACACACAGGCTGGTGTTTGGTTAAATGATACAGAAGCGGAGAGTGGTGATTTTTAACAGCTTTGCTTGCTCAGGCTTTTTCTTTCCCTGTTCTCTGAAAGCCATTTCCTGTTCTCTAATAGCCATTTCCCTTCGTGACTCTGGCCTCCTCAGCTCTCTCTAGGCTAATGCACCAGATCGCTACCTTACCCCTCAAAAAACAAATGCAAGGACCCTTGGGCCTGAGGGATAACATAAAAATCCCCCATGTTGGAGCAGCCAACCAGACAAGCACTTAGAGTCATGGGAGGGACCGGCAAAAGTGACGGCCCCCTTCTCTGTTCATGGCTGCTCCTCACCCCTCAACCCTACTTATTAAAGATCTGTTCCTTTGGGCTCTGTCACTGAAGTACCTACAAGTTGAGAACAGAGACCCCTTCCTCTCCCTCACCATCCCCACGTGCAGTTAATCCACAAGACCTTGCAAGGGTCCCTCCGAAAACCTTTCTGGAATTCAATTCCCTTGGCTCTGTTTAGGGTCAGGTCTTCCCTCCTCCAATTTCTTCCCCTTCACGTCACCTTCCCCACAGAAGCCAGAGTGATCTTTCTAAAGAAAGATAGGCCCCTCCCCTACACACAAACCCACCAGTGCCCCTGTCACCCCTCCCTCCTTAGGGCGTCTTGCCTGAGCCTCCTTTGCTGCTGGGAGCACGCAGCTGCGTCTGGATTGGCCTCTCTCCAGGCTGGCAACTGCTCCAGGCCCCTGGACTGTCCCCAGCGGTCTCTGACCTCAGTGCAGGGTAGACTGTAAGAGTTCTGGTAAGCACAGAATGTAATTCTCCTCCTTGGCTCTCCTCCTGTTCTTCCTTCTTTTCCAGACCCCACCCTCTCCGAGGCTCCATTAGTCTGTCAATTTATTCAACTCCTGTTTTCATTTATCTCTTGGTTAATTTACTCATTCCAGGATCCACACATTCAACATTCATCAAAATCTAGAGAATTGCTCATCTCTAAGGGGGATCTGAATTTTTGAGGTACCCCAAGTGGTTATTAAGATAAAGCTAGCTTGAGGGACATGAGGCTTTGTGGAGAAGAACCCAGGTTTTAGGAACCCAATGATAGCTCCATTCCTCATACAGCCTTGGGAAATGTCACTGAACCTTGCTGAGCTTTAGTTTGCTCACCAGAAACATTGTTGAGAATTATATATGGAAAAGCCTCGCACATACTGATAAGTTTAAATGACAGCTATCAGGTTAATTTATGAGCAGCCAGGTGGGCACAGAAGTCAAGAGTTACAGAGAAAAATTGTCTCAAATCTGATAAATGATGATATCTCACCATCAAGCATTTCTGTAAACGTAGTTAACTGATTTTTGATGGTCATTTTAAAAATTGTGGTAAAATACACACTATATAGAAATTTACTGTCTTAACTATTTTTACATGTACAGTTCAGTAATGTTGAGTATATTCATTTTGTTGTGCAACCAGTCTCCAGAACTTTTTCATCCTGTAAAACTGAAACTCTATTCCTGTTAGGTAACATTACCCCATTTCCTCCTCCCCTTGGCCCCTGGCAACCATCATTCCTCTTTCTGTCTCTATGAATTTAACTCCTCTAGGTACCGAATATCAGTGGGATCATATAGTATTTGTCTTTTTGTGACTTATTTCACTTAGCATAATGTCCTCAAGATTCACCCATGTGTCAGAATTTCATTCCTTTCTATAACTGAGTAATATTCCCTTGTATGTGTATACCACGTATTATTTATCTGTGCATCCATCGATGGACACTTGGGTGGCTTCTGCCTCTTGGCTATTGTGAAGAATGCTGCTATGAACATGGGAGAACAAATACCTCTTCGGGACCCTGCTTTCAATTCTTTTGGATATATACCCAGAAGTGGAATACTTGAATCATGTGGTACTTCTGTTTTTAATTTTTGAGGAACTGCCATACTGTTTTCCATAGCAGCTGTATAATTTTACCTTCCCATCAACAGTGTACAAGGGTTCCAATTTCTCCACATCCTTGCCAACATTTGTTATTTTCTGGATTTTGGGTTTTTTTGGGGGGTTTTTTGTGTGTATGCTGAGGAAGATTCACCCTGAGCTAACATCTGTTGCCAATCCTCCTCTTTTTGCTGAGGAAGATTCGCCCTGAGCTGCTACCATCTGTTGCCAATCTTCCTCTATTTTGTATGTGAGCTGCCGCCAATAGCATGGCCACTGATAGATAAGTGGTGTGGGTCTGTGCCTGGGAACCGAACCTCGTCCACCAATGTGGAGCACACGGAACTTAACCACTAGGCCACCAGGGCTGGCCTTTTTTTTAATAGAAGCCATCCTAGTGGGTGTGAGGTGATATCTCATTGTGGTTTGGTTTGCATTTTCCTAATGATTCATGATGTTGAGCATCTTTCATAGGCTTGTTGGTCATTTGTATATCTTCTTTGGAGAAATGTCTATTCAAGTAGTTTGCCCACTTTTTAACCAGGTTATATGTTTTTTTGTTGCTGAGTTGTAGAAGTTCCTTATATATTATGGATTAACCCGTTATCAGATATACGATTTACAAATATTTCCTCCCATTCTGTAGGTTGCCTTTTCACTCTGTTAACTGTCCTTTGATGCACAGAAGTTTTTGATTTTGTTGTATTCCAATTTATCTATTTCTTCTTTTGTTGCCTGTGCTTTTGCTGTCATATCCAAGAAATCATTGCCTAATACAATGTCAGGAAGCTCTTCCCCTGTGATTTCTTAAGGAGTTCTATAGTTTTAGCTCTTAAATCTAGGTCTTTGATCCATTTTGAGTTAATTTTTGTATATGGTATAAAATAAGGGTCCAATTTTATATTTTTGATTGTGAACATCCACTTGTGTCCCAGCACCATATTTTGAAAAAATTATTCTTCCCCCTATTGAGTTGTCTTGGCACTCTTGTCAACAGTCCGGACTCTAGGTTCTATTCCATTGATCTATACATCTATCCTTGTGCTACTACCACACTGTCTGGATTATTGTAGCTTTGTAGTAAATTTTGAAATTGGGAAGTGTGAGTCCTCCAATTTTGTTGTTTTTTGAGATTGTTTTGGCTGTTATGGGTCTCCTGCATGTCCATATGGATTTTAGGACCAGATTGTCAATTTCTCCAAAAGAGCCAGCTGGGATTTTGATAAAGACTGAGTTGAATCTGTAGATCAATTTGGGGAGTATTGCCCTCTTAACAATATTAAGTCTTCTGATTGATGACCATGGGAATTCTTTCCATTTATTGAGATTTTAAATTTCTTTTGAGGATGTTTTGTAGTTTTCAGTGTACAAGTCTTTTACTTCATTTTTTAAATTTATTCCTATGTATTTTATTATTTTTATGCTATTATGAATGCAATTGTATTTTTTTTTTTTTTTTTTTGAGGAAGATTAGTCCCCAGCTAAATACTGCCAGTCCTCCTCTTTTTGCTGAGGAAGGCTGCCAAGAAGCGGAACGTGCAAACTTAACCGCTGCGCCACCGGGCCGGCCCCGCAATTGTATTCTTAAATTCATTTTCGTATTGTTCATTGCTAGTGTATAGAAGTACAAGTGATTTTTGCACATTGATCTGGTATCCTACGAACTTGCTGAACTCATTTATGAGTGGTTATAATGTTTTTGTGGATTCCTTAGGATTTGCTGTATACAATGTCATATCATCTGTGAATAGAATTAGTTTTACTTCTTGCTTTCCAGTCTGGATGCCTTTTTTCCCCTTGATTAATAGCCCTAGCTACAATCTTGGTGCTATGTTGAATAGACATGATGAGCATGGATATACTTGTCTTATTCCTGATATTAGGAGGAAAGCCTTTTGATGTTGAACGTGATGTTAGTTGTGAGTTTTTCATAGATGCCCTGTGTCAGGTTGGGGAAATTCCCTTCTATACCTAGTTTGTTCAGTGTTTTGTTTTGTTTTGCTTTTACAGTGAAAACATTTTGGGTTTTGTCAAATGGTGTTTCTGCATCAAGTGAGATGATTATGTGGGTTTTGTCCTTTATTCTAGTAATATGGCATATTAAATCAATTTATTTTTGGATGTCAAATCAACTTTCATTCTTGGCATTAATCATACTTGGTGATGGTGTATAATCCTTTCTATATGTTGCTGGATTCAGTTTGCTAGTGTTTTGTTGAGGATATTTGTATCTTTATTCGTAGAGATATTGGCCTGTAGTTTTTTCTTTGTCTGATATCTTTGTCTTTGTCAGATTTTGTATCAGGGTGATACTGATCTCATAAAATGAGTTTGGAAGTGTTCCCTCCTCTTCTTTGAAAGAGTTTGTGAAGGATTGGTATTAATTAATCTTTTTTGTGCGTGAGGAAGATTCGCCCTGAGCTAACATCTGTGCCAATCTTCCTCTACTTTGCATGTGGGATGCATCTACAGCATGGCTGATGAGTGCTGTAGGTCCATGCCTGGGATCCAAACCTGCAAACCTGAGCCACTGAAGTGGAGAACGCAGAGCTTCAACCACTTGGCCACAGGGCTGGCCCCCTTAATTAGTCTTTAAACATTTGATATAATGCACCACTAAGGCCATCTGGGCTTGAGCTTTTCTTTGTGGGAAGTTTTAAAATTACTAATTCAGTCTCTTTACTTGTTATAGGTATATTTAGATTTTTTACTTCTTCTCATGTCATCTTTGGTAGTTTGTATCTTTCTAGGAAGTTGTCTATTTCATTTATTTTTTCTAATTTATTTGCATACAATTGTTCATAGTATTCTCCTACAATGCTTTATATTTCTATAAGGACAATAGTGACATCTCCTCCTTTATTCCTGATTTTAGTAATTTGATTCTCTCTTTTTATCTTGATCAATCTAGCTAAAGGTTTATCAGTTTGTTAATATTCTCAAAGAATCAACTCTTGGTTTTGTTGATTTTTCTCTTGTTTTACCATCCTCTATTCCATTTGTTTTTGCTTTAGTCTTTATTATTTCCTTCTTTCTGCTATCTTTAGGTTTATTTTGCTCTTTTTCTCTTTTTTTTAAGATAGTAGGTTAGATTATTGATTTAAAAATCTTTCTTTCTTCCTTTTTTTGCTCAGGGTGAATGTTCCTAACATCTGTGCCAGTCTTCCTCTATTTTGTATGTGGGTCACTGCCAAAACGTGGCCACTGACAAGTGGTGTAGGTCCATGCCTGGGAACCGAACCTGGGCCACCAAAGTAGAGTGCACCGAACTTAACCACTAGGCCATGGGGCTGGCCTCTTCTATTTTTAATATGGGCATTTACGGCCCTAAATTTCCCTCTAAGCACTGCTTTAGCTACATCTCATAAGTTTTGATATTTTGCATTTTTATTTCATTTATCTTAAAATATTTTCTAATGTCTCTTGTGATGTATTCTTTGACTCATTGATTATTTAGGAGTTTGTTGTTTAATTTACATATATTTGTGCATTTCCTAAATCTTTCTCTTATTGATTTCCAATTCCATTCCACTGTAGTCAGAGAACATACTTTGTATTATTTCAATTACTTTAAATGTATTCGTGCCTTTTTTATTGGCTAACATATGATGTTCCACAGGCGCTTGAGAAGAATGTATATTCTTATGTTGTTTGTTGGCATATTCTATAGGTATCTGCTAGGTCTTCCCTGTTGATCTTCTGCCTAGTTATTCTATTCATTATTGGTAGGAGGTATTGAAATCTCCAACTGTTACTGTTGAATTGTGTAGTTCTCTCTTCAATCCTGTCAGTTTTTACTTTGTGTATTTTGGGACTCTGTTATTTGGTGCATTTGTGTTTGTAATTGTTATGT